AAAAATATGTATTTTACTAATTATAATTAGTAAAAAATTTAAGTGTTGCATTATTTTTGATTGCCACTGTATATTATTTTTAATTATTATTATATAAAATAATAAATAATTTTTATATAAATTAAGAATGATTATCAAGTTTATTAATATTAAAATATTTAAATAATTAAATAATTAAAAAAGAATAAATAACTTAATATAAAGTAATATTATAAAAGTTTACTTCTGAATTATTAATAATACTTTTAATAGGATTAAAAATTTTATAAAATATTTAAAAAATATAAAAGAATAAAAATAGCTTTATATTATTTTCTTGTTATAATTTTATTAATTTATAAGTTAATTATAATTTATATTAAAATATTTAGAAAAATAAAAATTATAAAAGATTATTATATTTATAATATTAAATTATATAAATTTTAATATTTTTAAAAATAATTACTTAATAATTGAAAAATAATAAAAGAAAAAAAATAATATAATTAAATAAAATAATATTTAAATTCTAAATAGAGTAATAAAATAATAATAAAAATATTATATTAGAGATATATTTTATAAAAATACTAAGATTAATAAATAAGCAAATATAAAAATTCTTAAAATAATACTTAATAATAAAATATATTTGAAAACAAAATTTTTGAATTTTTATATCAACTTTTTTTTGCAAAATAAAAAATAAAATTGAATAACAAATTTATTTGTAATAATAATCAATATAAGTAAATATTATAAAAATAATAATAATAATTAAAATTATAATAAGAAAATATATTTATAAAAATAAAGAAATAATTTTTATATTATATTATATAAATAATTAAAGTTTGTTCTTGAACAGTTGAAAAATTTATTAATATAGTATATACAATATTTTGAACTGGTTCAAGAATTAATTCTGAAGTAATATATAATAATAATATCTTATTAAGAACTAAAAAAATATCTTTTAATATAAAGAGACTTGTTAATAAGATAAGTTTTAAATGTAATATTAAAGAATTTGTATATAAGCAATCCATTATCTAAAAAAAAGCAGATTTGAAGTTTCAATTTAGGTTTTAATAACTTAAGTTCTTGATATTTTTAATAATCATGGAAAGATGCAAAATTTATCATCTATAGAATGCTAGTACGTATAGTATAGATCATTGGCATTTCATCTGATCAGAGATATTTCTTATTGTGTCACATTACCTCTTCTTCATAATACATGTACTCTCTTTATCTTAAAATTTCTTTTATTTCTTATTAAAAAATACTTTAGTTTTATACATGTATATACTTAAATTAAGAATTTCTTGAAAAACAGTTTTATTAAATACGAAATTACTCTATAAATTTATAATTTTATTAATAAATATTTTTTGCTTTTATTTAATAAATGTAAATATCAATCTGTTATATATTTTATCTAAAATAAATTGATTTATAAATACATGTTTGAAATAAATAATAATCGAATTATCAACAGAACCAATGCATGTATCCAATATTGTACACGGGTCATGGGTCCAACAGGATTAAGTGTTCCACCCCCTCCCATTTTGTTCCGTCCCATCTTATTTATCCATAAAAAGTTGTCCATACTAATCACTAATTAATAAAATTAATGTATCTTCCTTTGTCACAAATCTCGTTCACGTCCCGGTCCAAATGACAATGCTGCATGTACCTCTTAAGACAATCGCTTTCGGGTGAATTTTGCTAGCTTAGACGATTAAATTAGGTTAATAAGTTTAATTTTTGCTTAATTTAAAATGTACTATTTTAATAAAACATTTTGACATTTTATGTAAAACGTGTATTTACTTACACTATTGACGTCCCTATAAATTTGATGGGAAATTAGCATGGTAAATGAAAACAAGGTCTAAATAATCATTTATCTTATGTTTATTTAATCTTTATATATAATAGTTGCATCATTTATCTTATTGTATTTTCTATTTTTTAATCATTTACATTTTTTATTTACCTTTTTTATTTCTTTCTAGTTAATATCTTTTAAAATATTAAAGATCATTTACATATCTTTATATATTATCTAATGGCTTTATAAACTATAGAATTTTTTTAACCTATGCGAAATCGATACACATGCATAATAATGAACAAAAACAAATATTTTCGAGCTGCAAGCTTTTCAGTCTTAAATTTGCAGATACGTGAATAGTCCGAACCAATCAAAATATATTTTTGTCTTGTGTCAAAAAAGTGAAGTACCATAAGAAGAGTCTTATTACACGGAATTGTGAACCAAATCTCGGAAAGGTAATCGGAAAAAAAATTGCGTTCTTACTCCGAACTTGAGAAAAGTTTTATTTTTAAAGAGTTCCTTGAGTCAATGTTACTTGATCTGATCTAAAAAAAAACCGGACATCAAACATAATGAACAAAGATGGTAACTTCCGAAATCTGTACGACATTGATCTCTTTATTTGTTTATATTACTTTTTTGCAATGCGAGTATTGCTAAATTTGTTAAATAACTTTATTTAGTGGACACAGATTGTTCGCCATATGTAATCATCAGAATCCGTTTTAGGTGGTGAAAACATGTAATAAAATAGAATATTTTTCTCAGCGTGCATGATTGTGCACGGGAAGAACCTTTACATTGCATGTATTAGGGAAGTCCTTTTATTTGCGATAACTAGTCATTTTGATAAGATTAGTTTAAACAAATTGTACACGGAAAACCAGCAAATATAGATATATATTTATTTAGATAATAATTCGGAATATTGCAAATACGCATGTAAAACACAAAGAACCACTAAGAAGTTTTACGCATCCATATTTATTCTTAATCTAATGGTTCAAAGATAATTAATCAGCAAACTGGAGAACCTCTCGTCATCAGAAAATTTATAAATAGTGCAAAGTCCTCATTCCAGATGAACTGCACTGTTGAAATAAGCAAAATGCCTAAACTCCGACAAAGTAAAAACCATAACACTCCTTCAGATACTTATATAGATGAAATCCTCAAAAAAATTAATGTGCCGTCTCCATATGACAAAAGAATTGTCCCAATTCTAAAGAAATTTGAGGTGGATGATACCACTACTATGTCAAAAAAGCCACCAAATAGCTTTATCTTATATCGAACGGTTTTTTTCCACATGTTAAATAGCAATAATGTTCAACTTCCTGCAAACAAGATCTCGAGCCTGGCATCGAAAAAATGGAAGAACGAATCCAATGCAATTAAACAAGAATATGAACGAATCGCTGACGAAATTCGCGAATGCTCACCCAAATATATACCTTCTTTTCAAAAGGAACCCAAAAAACAATACAAATGGCGTGATTATAAATATCCTGATAATGAAAAGAAAAAGAAAAATTCTTCATCCAATAAAAATTATGAATTTAGCGCGATTGACTCAATACAAAGCTTGTCTGCACCAGCTACTGGTTCTGATACTTGTCCGTCAATGTCAACAGAAATTGATCAAGGATTCATGAACTTCCCGTTAAAAGATAAAGATTCTACAGCATATGGTTTTGTTGACGCAGTTCCTTTATATTTTCCAGAAAAAATTCAATCTCAGTCAGATATTGATCATCTAAGTCGATCATCAAGTTTTGATATTAATACCTCGAATTATCAGCTCTCTGTACCAAGCTTATCAATAAACAGTCCTGCATCTTTGACATCAACAACCGAGGAAGCTAGGGATTTAGAAATGCTCAATATAGAAAAGTTTCAAGCGTCCTTGCTGGTGAAATCGGCGGAAAATTCTTATCAAGATACAATGACTTTTCCACTTGAGGATTTAATCAATGATGAATATCTACAATTTTAAATTTTGAATTATTGATCTTATCTATAAAGTATCTTAAGTGTAATTATGTTGCAACCAACAGCTTATTAAGTTTGTTTTACATACGCCTATATATGCCATTTAATTTTCTTAAGCTATTTACCTAGTTACCCATACATCTACTATAAATTTCGGATAATTTTCTGGGCAAAATTTTCCATCCCATATTACTTCTTTATAAAATCAGCACTCATTATTTATTTAACGTTAATATTAAGAAATAACAATAGACAATGTCATGTATTTAACTTTTAAGGTTACATTGCTATTAATTATGTACGTGAATAAAAATTTTTCCCAAATTTGGTTTAGAGTCTACATACATTGTGTAATTATCGTTATTTTAATTCATGGATAAAAATGTACCTGTAACAACTCGCTTTGACCAATCACAGCATTCTATTTATCTTTAATACATGCATATTTACGTTTATTTTAATTTTCCACATTTTAGACATTCAAAAGCAAATCTGCGATTGGATTTTCCTTTTATGGGGGAGTCAAACGACAGATACGGTTAATTAATATAAATTCGAGTTTCAAATTCACATTATCTGAATGAATACATAAAAATTTCAAATTCTGTTTATAATAAAATTTTGTGTCGATGACACAAAAAAAGTTTTACCCATTTATATGTGTTAATTTTGATGTTTCATTTTTGCATCGGATAAATAAATACATGTAAACACGAAAAACGCACGGTAATTTGAAATCATCCCTCTAAAAATTTTAAAATGTTCCCAACAAATCGGAGAATTCAGGCATGTTATCCATCATTGCATGTGCATGCACTGTAAAACGTTCGGTTAAATGTCGAAACGATGTTGTACGAGTACCATCAAACAATTATGTTTGATATCTCCTGCACTGTGAAATTCTATTTCCTTAATTTTTGTCTATACTGATACCGTGAATTTAGGTTCTAAACTTATTTGATCATTTACTTTCTTGCAGGAATTCCATGTACATGAAGGATCGGATTAACTATGATAAGTTCCATGCATATTGTTGTTGCCTGTAAAGCTATAACAAGGTGTTTTATTCGAGATCTCAATAATTATCGTTATTAATTTGATTTCTGTACTGGGGTTAAATCAACCAACTATAGTTAGTAGGTATCTATCAAAGTTTAATTATCAACGCATGATACATGTCATGTACAGACGCCACAGAAGTTAACGCCCGATTTGCGTGTGTAACCCTAAGTTTTTTCTTCTTTTACATTTAAAACATGCACTAGGCGAAAATAGTAGTTTTTATTGAAATTATGAGTGCCAAACAAGCTGCAAGAAAAATATGCCATAATCCGATGATAGTATAATGGTCTCTAAATAGGAAAATGAAAATTTACAACGGCAAAACATTTCATGACATTGGCAATAAACAATCTGTGCAAAGCCTTACCTGAAGATTCTATAAGGTAATTTCGTTTCTTTTCATAATATAATTTGTTCATTGATTTGAGAAAACATGATGTTTAAGCAAAATAACTTGCTCCACACTGGGAAAAAAGTAATGAAATAGGTTCAAATAGAGAAAATCTACTGTTAGCATGTTCTAGAGACCCTAACTTCATAGAAATGTCTGCAATTCATTGGAGAATAATATTCAAAAAATGTAAAAGATCGTGGAAAAGCTCAAGGCTGCTCTAAAGGAAACATGATCAAAATTTGATTTATTGGCTTTGAGGGGGTTGTAGGTTCAATGCCTTAAGAAATCAAAGCGAAATTAAAGCTACATGAAGGGCTAATGATTATTAATTAGTGATAAAAAAGTCTTTATATACATAAGACAATAATAAAATAAATCGGGTATATATCGGAAATTTTATTTTAAAAAAATCGGGCGTTACGATTTTTAGTGATACATGTACATGTTATATCTCATTTGAAAACATAAATTAAGTTAAATTAAAGACATATCGATATTGAATTTTTTTCATATGAAAAAAAGGCAAGCACGTAAAGTTGATGGAAATTGCACAGAATGGTCTGACAAGTACGTAAATTTGCATTATTATACATTATACACACATATCCATGCTTCCGTGTGTGAAACCGTGTCCAAAATTTGTTACTTTTTGTTGCTCGCCAGGCCATTCTTGTGGGTTTTACGTGTTGAGTTTTTATAGTCTTTTAAAACAGGTTAGTGAGTACCTTATTTTATCGTTATACTTTGTAAAATATAAAATTTTTATGATTAATGCTCATTTATTTATTCATATGAAACATCATCTTCTTTAAATATATTATATTTAGAGTATTAAGAACGATATTTTCTCTTATAAATTTCACTAATATCATTTTGTTACTTTATTATCCTCGTGATTTTATAAGCTATTCACGCGACAATATTTTATAAAACATGTTAAAGCTTCCTTCTGCAAGTACAATATAACCGAAGGTTTATATTCGAAGTCTCTGATTATTTTATTAGACATCCGAATGTTTTTTCTAAAAGAATATATCACATATAATCATCTATGTGGTTCACTTTTTGAGTTTACTTTATAAAAATGGTTTGTGCTTTATAACTTATTTAAAACTTTTGATAAAAGATAAATTCATCGTCACACAGCATATGCAAATACATAAACATGTAAATTGTTTTATCGTTAAGCGAGTCAATTGTATATTCATAGAATTGTGTTAATCCGGAAATTTCACTAAATTATCCCGTGTCTGACAAGAAGTTGCATAATTTTCATCTTGGTGCGTGTTTCAATTAATAAACTTAATAAGGAAACGATTATAAATTTCGCAAACAGATTTAATATAATGACCAGTTAATGTAATAATTGACTCAATTTATTTATTCGTTGTAGGATTTGAAAGTTACATGCATAATTAATAATTTAGAATATTCATGCATAATAAATAACTTAGAATACACTTTGTAAATGGCAAAATTTTAATAGAAAATTAATTATGAAATCAATATGTAATATAATAAAAGAATCACTTTTAGTTGCCCTGCAACATTTTAATTAAATATATAGTAAGCTAAGATCCATAATGTTTTTAGGCTAATAATTATTTTAGAAAATGAATGCTTTTCTAATAACCTCGTAATACATGCATGCATTCTAGTCTTCCTTAAAAAAACTCGATCTGTTTCTATTCTCTATTTTGCGTCACAAAAAAGCTATGTATTAGTGAAATTAAAAAATGAATTTTAAATAATTCAAATAAGGATAATAATTTACCATAATTAGGTTCACTCGGAACAATGCAATTAGATTCGGCATCAATATCTATATCAAACTCAGTAGATACATATGCTAATGTATACAACAAATACATGAAATGAATTTTACATGTAATTGGCTGATACAGTATTTTCTAAATAAATAATTTTTAAGTTGATTTTACCTTCATTTAGAACATACATCTCCAAGCTGCTACCTGCAGATTCGACATCAATAGTGATATCCAATTCAGTATTATTGTTGTATGCAAAAAAATGTTACTTTCAACATAATAATTAGTTGATATTGAGTTTTTGAAATATTATTCTGATACCTGATTTGTTTGGAGTTGAAATTAGTTTTTTAGTAAAAATTCGGCTTATAAAAATTGCATTTTGCGAATTTTTGTTTTTTGTTCATCTTCGAAAGACGCCTCGCAAACAACCGTGTGCGAAAAATCCGTCTCTCGCTCGACCTTGAAAGGCAATTTCTTGAGAGGGGCTTCTCACTATTTATCACAAATTTCGTAGTGATGGTCGTTTAATCACTCCTGATGGGCGGACAATGCTAAATCTTCGTTTTTCCGGTTCAAGGCGCCCAATAGTTTCTTTATGATGTTTTAGCACTGGGAATGCAAATCGTTAGTTTATTGAAAATTGTTGGATAGTAGATGGAATCGATAAAGTCATAAATATCTTCAGTATTTGGCTCGTTTTCTGGATTAGAATCCCAACATTTTTTGATGATAAATTTGCACCATCCAAAAACATTCTCTGGTATCTTAGGACATACTCCTTTATAGACATCGTACGCAAGATTTATATTATGACCAGTTACAATTTCGTATGTAATCATCCCAAAGCTATAATTCGAAGATATTATAATTAATTTTGTTGCATTCTTTTATCAGCTTGTCGATATCTTTATCCCCGCTATTGTTATAAATTTGTTTGTGATATTCGAAACAACCATCGCAGCGCTCATATCTGCAGCTTGAGTATATAGCTTTCCATAAAACAGCTCTGGACTTACAGTGGCTGTCATAAGTTTTGTATCACACGAATAATAAAAATGTAATATTTTACGATTTATATGTTATTTACATGTGAGATCAAGTGTATTTAAAAAAGAAGAATCTTGATTATCTTTAAACTCAATATAGATTGTAATATATTATATTCATCATGATTTTGTGTTTATCGTTATTTCTTCCCTAAAGTGATAATGTATTTCTTTTGATCATTAGTCTATTTAAATGTAAGACTATATAAAACAAAGTTCATAACAATCCTATTTTGTATGCTATATAAAAATTACACTTATGAAAATAATATTTTAAAAAAACAATTAAATAAATATGAGTCATATTACTATTGAACAAAGATCATAAATCTGTGCCCTTTATGATGAAGAATCTTTTTCCTATAATATTGTATCAAAAGAAAATGTCATACAATCTTCTGTTATCTGTCTTAAAAAAAACTTATAATAACTGATTTCATAAAAGATTTATCAAAATCTGATCATTTCCTGGATATGACAAGCATAATATTATATAATTTATTTCAAGTAATGTTTAAATACTATAGAAATTCAAAAAAATTAAAATAATAATAAATTTAATATAAGCAATAATAATATAAGAACTTTATATAAATAATTTATCTGCAAAAATTAAATGAAAAAATCTTATTTTAAGTAAAAAACATCAAAATTTATATTTAAAATTTCAAAAGAATATAAGATTGATAAATAGAGAATTAGAACATGATACTTTGGTTAGATGAGTTAA